CCTGATATGAAAATAATAATAATAATAATAATAATAATAATAATACAATGTAATAATAATTGGTCATACAGCTTGGAAACCACACAACATTTCAGTGTTAAACATGCCTTCTAGAGATAGGCATTGGGTAGAATTCCTTCCTTGGATCCATATTCCTATTATTGGCAAAATATTGCTAGAATATTCTATCAGTATTTTGCCAATAATAGAAATATGGATCCAGGGAAGGAATCCCACTCAATGCATTATCTATCTGCAGAAGGCATGTTGATCACTGGAATGTTGTGTGGCTTCGAAGCTGGATGACCAATCCTTTCCTTCTACCTTTCGTGTTTCCTTTTATCTTTCCTTGCTTCCCTCTTTCCTCCTTCCATCCCTCTCTCCCTCTTTCTCCCTCCTTCCTTCCTTCCTTCCTTCCTTCCTATAATAAAATATAATCTACTAGTTTTACTTAGGAATATTCCTCTGAACATACATTATATTTAATTTATACAAGGTGTTTTTTGTCAGAATTTTTAAAAGCAGGTTTACTAGTTGTTTGTTCAAGAGGATTGTGAAGCAAAGCAGTTAGATGATTCTGTTAATTACATTTTATCTTGTCTCAATGGTTTTCAAGGTACAACATTTCGGACAAAGACACATTTTTTGACAATGCGACCCGCAGTCGAATAGTAAGTAAATATTGAGGGTCTGACTGTTAAAAGTCTTCACTGTGTTTAATGGCATTCATTGTTATTTCAATACTTTCCTTTATCCTTCCTTTCCTTCGTGTCATCCTCTTTTTCCTTCCTTCCCTTTTGTCTTTCCTTCCTTCTCTTTCCTTTATCCGTCCTTTCCTTCCTTTCATCCTTCCCTTTTGTCTTTCCTTCTTTCCTCCCTTTTTCCCTCTCTCCCTCTTTCTCCTTCCCTCCCTTTTGTCTTTCCTTCCTTCTCTTTCCTTTATCATTCCTTCCATCCTTCCCTTTTTCCTTCCTTCCCTCCTTCCCCTTTGTCTTTCATTCCTTCTCTTTCCTTTATCCACGCTTTCCTTCCTTTCATCCTTCTCTTTTTTCCTTCCTTCCCTCCCTCTCTCCTTCCCTTTTGTCTTTCCTTCCTTCGCTTTCCTTTATCCTTCCTTTCCTTCCTTTCCATCCTTCCTTTTATTCCTTCCTTCCTTTCCTGCTTTCCCTTCGTCTTTCCTTTACCCTTCCTTCTATCCTTTCCTTTTTCCTTCCTTCCTCCCCCTTCATCTTTCCTTCCTTTTCTTTCCTTTATCCTTCCTTTCCTTCCCTTCCATCCTTCCCTTTTTCCTTCCTTCCTTTCCTGCTTTCCTTTGGTCTTTCCTTTACCCTTCCTTCTATCCTTTCCTTTTTCCTTCCTTCCTTTTCTTTCCTTTATCCTTCCTTCCTCCCCTTCTATCCTTCCCTTTTTTCTTCCTTCCTTTCCTGCTTTCCCTCCGTCTTTCCTTTACCCTTCCTTCTTCCTTCCTTTCTCCTTCCTTTCTTTTTCCTTCTTCCTTCTTTCCTTCCTTTCCTCCTTCTCTTCCTCCTTCTTTCCCTTTTCCTTCCTTTCCTTCCTTCTCCTTCCTTTTCTCCTTCCTTCCTTTCCCTCCCTCCTTCCCTCTCCCCCTCTTTCTCCTTCCATCCTTCCCTTCCTCCTTTTCGCCCTTCTTTCCTTCTGTCTTTCCTTCCTCCTTCCCTCCTTCCCTCCCTCCCTCCCTCCCTCCCTCCCTCCCTCCCTCCCTCCCTCCCTCCTCCCTCCCTCCCTCCCTCCCCTCCTCCCTCCCTTCCTTCCTTCCTTCCTTCCTTCCTTCCTTCCATCCTTCCATCCATCCATCCATCCATCCATCCATCCATCCATCCATCCATCACTGGGACAGTCCTCCTAACAGGGAGTGTTAGCATGCGGGCCCTCAAGTTAGAAGGTTTGCCCATGCTTAGTTTAACCCATGACATTGGCCACCCAGACTGGAAACTACACAACATCCCGGTGATTTAAACATGCCTTCTGTAGCTCGATATGGAGTCGGATGAGGACTTCCCTGGACTGCCAGGAATGGCACTTTTAGAAGCGACTTTCAGTGCTTCTGGTGTGAGAGAACTGGCCGTCCACAGAGACCTTCCCCAGAGGACACCCGGATATGTTACCATCCCGTGAGAGGCTTCTGGAGCTGACAGACCCTCTAGTCGGCACAAGGGTTTAACCTATTGCTCCACCGCTGCTACTTAATGGCAAAATGCTGCTGGAATATATTGGCCATCCAGCCTGGAAGCCACACAACATTCCAGTGATCAGCATGCCTTCTGGAGAGGGACATGGAGTGGGATGATGACTTCCCTGGAATGGAGCACCCGGTGGCGCAGTGGGTTAAACCCATGTGCCGGTAGGACTGAAGACCGACAGGTCGCAGGTTCGAATCCGGGGAGAGTGAGGATGAGCTCCCACTATCAGCTCGGGCTCCCCATGCAGGGACATGAGCGAAGCCTCCCACAAAGGATGGTAAAACTTCAAAACGTCCTGGCGTCCCCTGGGCAACGTCCTTGCAGACGGACAATTTTCTTACACCAGAAGCAACTTGCAGCATCTCAAGTCGCTCTCAACTTCTCAACTTCCCTGGATCTATATTCCTATGAGTGGCAGGATGCTGCTGGAAATACTTTGGCCATCCAGCCTGGTAAACACATCCTAGCGTCCCTTGGGCAACGTCCTTGCAGACGGCCAATTCTCTCACACCAGAAGCAACTTGCAGCTTCTCAAGTCGCTCCTGACACGGGAAAAAAACTTCCCTGGATCTATATTCCTGGCGTCCCCTGGGTAACGTCCTTGCAGACGGCCAACTCTCTCACACCAGAAGCAACTCCTGGATCTATATTCCTATGAGTGGCAAGATGCTGCTGGAATACATTGGCCGTCCAGCCTGGTAAAACATCAAAACATCCTGGCGACCCCTGGGCAACGTCCTTACAGACGGCCAATTCTCTCACACCAGAAGCAACTTGCAGCTTCTCAAGTGGCTCCTGACGCGGGAAAAAAACTTCCCTGGATCTATATTCCTATGAGTGGCAAGATGCTGCTGAAATGCATTGGCCATCCAGCCTGGTAAACACATCCTGGCGTCCCTTGGGCAACGTCCTTACAGACGGCCAATTCTCTCACACCAAAAGCAACTTGCAGCTTCTCAAGTCGCTCCAGACACGGGGGAAAAAACTTCCCTGGATCTATATTCCTATGAGTGGCAAGATGTTGCTGGAATACATTGGCCATCCAGCCTGGTAAACACATCCTAGCATCCCTTGGGCAACGTCCTCGCAGATGGCCAACTCTCTCACACCAGAAGCAACTTGCAGCTTCTCACGAAAAAAAAAAACTTCCCTGGATCTATATTCCTATGAGTGGCAAGATGCTGCTGGAATACATTGGGGATCCAGCCTGGTGTACACATCCTATCGTCCCTTGGGGAACGTCCTTGCAGACGGCCAATTCTCTCACACCAGAAGCAACTCCTGGATCTATATTCCTATGAGTGGCAAGATGCTGCTGGCATACACTGGCCATCCAGCCTGGTAAACACATCCTGGCGTCCCTTGGGCAACGTCCTTGCAGACGGCCAATTCTCTCACACCAGAAGCAACTTGCAGCTTCTCAAGTCGCTCCTGACACGGGAAAAACTTCCCTGGATTTATATTCCTGGCGTCCCCTGGGTAACGTCCTGGATCTATATTCCAATTCTCTCACACCAGAAGCAACTCCTGCATCTATATTCTTATGAGTGGAAAGATGCTGATGGAATACATTGGCCATCCAGCCTGGTAAACTCATCCTGACGTCCCCTGAGCAGCGTCCTTGGAGACGGCCAATTCTCTCACACCAGAAGCAACTTGCAGCTTCTCAAGTCGCTCCTGACACGGGAAAAAAAAAACAACTTTCCTGGATCTATATTCTTACGAGTGGCAAGATGCTGCTGGAACACATTGACCATCCAGCCTGGTAAAACACCAAAACATCCTGGCGTCCCCTAGGCAACGTCCTTGCAGACGGCCAACTCTCTCTCACCAGAAGCAACTCCTGGATCTATATTCCTATGAGTGGCAAGATGCTCCTGGAATACATTGGCCATCCAGCCTGGAAAACTCATCCTGTCGTCCCCTGGGCAGCGTCCTTGGAGACGGCCAATTCTCTCACACCAAAAGCAACTTGCAGCTTCTCAAGTCGCTCCTGACACGGGAAAAAAAATTCCCAGCCAACTCTCTCAACACCAGAAGCAACTCCTGGATCTATATTCCTATGAGTGGCAAGATGCTGCTGGAATACATTGGCCATTCAGCCTGGTAAAACATCAACACATCCTGGCGTCCGCTGGGCAACGTCCTTGCAGACGGCCAATTCTCTTACACCAGAAGCAACAAGTCGCTCCTGACACGATAAAAAGTACTGTGGATCTATATTCCTATGAGTGGCAAGATGCTGCTGGAATACATTGGCCATCCAGCCTGGTAAAACATCAACACATCGTGGCGTCCCCTGGGCAAACGTCCTTGCAGACGGCCAACTCTCTCACACCAGAAGCAACTTGCAGCTTCTTGCGGAAAAAAACTTCCCTGGATCTATATTCCTACGAGTGGCAAGATGCTGCTGGAATGCATTGGCCATCCAGCCTCTTGGGCAACGGCCCTGCAGACGGCCAACTCTCTCACCAGAAGCAACTTGCAGTTTCTCAAGTGGCTCCTGACAGGGGGAAAAAGCTTCCCTGGATTTATATTCGTATGAGTGGCAAGATGCTGCTGGAATGCATTGGCCATCCAGCCTGGTAAACACATCCTGGCGTCCCCTGGGCAACGTCCTTGCAGACGGCCAACGCTCTCACACCAGAAGCAACTTGCAGCTTCTCAACATTCCAGTGATCGCTAGCATGCGTTCCCTAGCTCGACGTGGAGTGGGATGAGGACTTCCATGGGGGTCAGGGCACCCCCTTTCCCGCCCTCCCTCCCTCCCTCCCTCCTTCCTTCCGCGCCGGCTCTTACCTTGAAGGCCACCGGGAGGGTCTTGTTGCATCGCCAGTGCGAAGGCAGGACGGAGCAGAGGAAGTTGGGGCTGTCGGTGCGCACCAGCTCTCCGGGGTGATCCGCCAGGACGTCGACGACGGAGCGGGGCGGCTCGGTCCGGCTCCGGGCTCCGGCTCCCAGGCTCCCTCCTCCAACTCCTCCTCCTCCGAGGGTCGCGCCGTTCTCGCCCATCTTTCCGCAGGGGAAGGCCGCCGAGGGAGGGGTGAAGCGCCGGCTGGTGCTGGGATCTACGGGAATACGCATCACCGCCGCCGGCGTCAAAGTTAGGGCGCCTCTTCCCTTCCAAAAGAGCCACCCAACCCTCCCTTCTGCTCAGTCCTAGCCACGGCTTGTGCAGCCTAGCTTTCCCTTCTTCTTCGCCTCCGCTTGGCTTTCTGAAACCAACTCCGCGGTTACAGGACGATTTTTTTCCCTCCCGCTATGACTTTATTTACATAGCAAGGCAGAGGAGGGGAGGCGTGGCTTTGCTTCGGCAGAGTGGCACCCGGGGGAACCAATCAGAGCGGCGGGAAGGGGAAAAGGGGGCGGGGGAGGAAGGAGAAGCCGCGCCCCTTTTTCCCTTTTGTCACCGCCTTTTTTTCCCCAAAAGGGAGGGGGGAACACGTGGAGCGCCCCCAAAGGAAAGCACTCCAGTCTCTGGCTACTTCATGGGCACACTTGGGCCTTCTAGGTGTTTTGGATTTCAACTCTCACAATCCCTAACTATTGAAGGCTTTCATGGCAGGAATTACTGGGTTGTTGTGAGTTTGTCATGTCCCAGAAGCATTCTCTCCTGACGTTTCGCCCGCATCCATGGCAGGCATCCTCGGAGATTGTGAGGTCTCTTGGAATCTTGGATCTATAAGTCTGGGATGTCCAGGATAGGAGAAAGAATGGTCTGTTTGAGGTAGGTGTGAATGTTTTCCATTGATTAGCAGGGGCGACTTCTTACTGCCTGGGGGAATCCTTTGTTAGCTATCCCGGATAGTTTCTTGCCCGTAGGTAGTCCCCTGACATTAAGTCCAGTCATGTCTGACTCTGGGGTGTGGTGCTCATCTCCATTTCTAAGCCGAAGAGCCAGCGTTGTCCGTAGACACCTCCAAGGTCATGTGGCCGGCATGACTGCATGGAGCGGCGTTACCTTCCCGCCGGAGCGGTACCTATTGATCTACTCACATTTGCATGTTTTCGAACTGCTAGGTTGGCAGAAGCTAGGGCTGACAGCGGAAGCTCACGCCGCTCCCCGGAATCGAACCTGCGACCTTTCGATCAACAAGCTCAGCAGCTCAGTGCTTTACCCACTGCGCCACCGGGGGCTCCCTTCTTGTCTGTAGTTCCCCTGTTTTGAGTGTTCTTTATTTACTGTTATGATTATGTTATGTCTTGTTATGATTTTAGGCTGTTGGGAATTATGGGAGTTGAAGTCCAAAACATCTAAGTTTGCCCGCGCCTGCACTACAGAATGAATCCACTTTCAAATCGGTTTCTGCCTCTAGGGATGCCTGCCATAGATGTGGGCAAAATGTCAGGAGAGAATGCTTCCGAATATGGCCAGACAGCCCGGAAAACTGGACCTCATCATAACAGAGAATGAATCTATTGTCGAAGGCTTTCATGGCTGGAATCACTAGGTTCTTGTGGGTTTTTTTCGGGCTATATGGCCATGTTTTAGAGGTATTTTCTCCTGACGTTTCGCCTGCATCTATCAGAGGTAGTGAGGTCTGTTGGAATTAGGAAAATGGGTTTATATATCTGTGGAATGACTGGGGTGGGGCAAAGAGCTCTTCTCTGCTGGAGCTAGGTGTGAATGTTTCAACTGACCACCTTCATTAGCATTGAAAGGCCTGGCTGAGCCTGGGGGAATCTTTTGTTGAGAGGTGTTAAGATGTGCCTGGTTATATATAACCCCATTTTCCTAATTCCAACAGACCTCACTACCTCTGAGGATGCTTGCCATAGATGCAGGCGAAACGTCAGGAGAAAATGCCTCTAGAACATGGCCATACAGCCCAGAAAAAACCCACAAGAACCTAGAGAAATACTCCACTTAAAATCCGGTTACTGCCACCAGTAGAATTTTTGGGGTTTGTAGTGAGGCTGTTAAAGGGACCTCCCTAAACTGCAAAGCCCCCAAATTCTGCAGGTGGTAGTAACCGGTTTTTAAGTGGATTCATTCTCTGGTGTGATGAGGTCCAGTTTCCCGTGCTGTCTGGCCATGTTCCGGAAGCATTCTCTCCTGACCTTTTGCCCACATCTATGGCAGGCATCCCCAGAGGTTGTGAAGTCTGTTAGAAACTAGGAATATATATCCACAGATATAAGTGGGGTTTATATATTTGTGGAATATTTAAAAAATACTCTAGAATCAGGACAGTAAATAAAAAGGAGCACAAAAAAAGTTGGGCAGCTAACACCTCCCAACAAAGGATTCCCTCCAGGCAGGAAGAGCCAGGTTTTGAAGCTGCAAGTCTATTTAATGCTAATCAAGTTGGCCATCTGCAACATTCACACTTGCCTCAAACACCTCCCAGCAAAGGATTCCCCCAGGCAGGAAGCAGCCAGGCTTTGAAGCTGCAAGGCCATTCAATGCTAATCAAGGAGGCCAATGGCAACATTCACACTTGCCTCCAACAGAGAAGAGTTCTTTCTCCCACCCTGGACATTCCTCAGATATATAAGCCTCACTCGCCTAGTTTCCAACAGACCTCACAATCTCTGAGGATGCCTGCCATAGATGCAGTCAAAACATCAGTAGAGAATGCTTCTGGAACATGGCCGGACAGCCAGGGAAAACTTACAGCAACCCAGTGATTCTGGCCATGAAAGCCTTCGACAACACAATAGCCAGAAAGATAGTCTGCATCTTGATAGAGAGACAGACAGACAAGCACACACCAACATACGTACATACATACATACAGGCAGTTTGTATACATACATACGCCTCGTTGGTAACTTGGGGGTGCCTGTGTGTGTGTGTGTATCTGTGTATAGATAGGGATAGGGATAGAGATAGAGAAAGAGAAAGAAATAGAGATAGAGATATAGAGAAAGGGATAGGGATAGAGATGGGGATAGAGTGAGAGATAGAGATAGAGAGAGGTAGATATAGAGATAGAGGGATAGGGATAGAGATAAAGAAAGAGATGAAGAAAGAGATAAAGAAAGGGATAGGGATAGTGATAGAGAATGATATATATGTGTGTGTGTGTGTGCGCGCGCATAGGGATAGAGACAGAGATGAAGAAAGAGAAAGAAATGGATAGGGATAGTGAGAGCGAAGGAGAGAGAAAGATAAGGGGATAGAGATAGAGAAAGAAAGAGATGAAGAAAGGGATAGGGGTAGTGAGAGAGAAGGAGAGAGAGAAAAGAAGGGATAGAGAAAGAAAAAGAGGGTGAAGAAAGAGATAAAGAAAGGGATGGGGATAGTGAGAGAGAAGGAGAGAGAGATAAAGGGATAGGGATAGAAATAGAAATAGAGAAAGAGATAAAGAAAGGGATAGTGAGAGAGAAGGAGAGAGAGAGATAAAGGGATAGGGATAGAGATGAAGAAAGAGATAAAGAAAGGGATAGGGGTAGTGAGACAGAAGGAGAGAGAGATGAAGGGATAGGGATAGAGAAAGAGAAAGAGATGAAGAAAGAGATAAAGAAAGGGATGGGATAGTGAGAGAGAAGGAGAGAGAGAGAGATAAAGGGATAGGGATAGAGGTAGAAATAGAGAAAGAGATAAAGAAAGGGATAGGGATAGTGAGAGAGAAGGAGAGAGAGATAAAGGGATAGGGATAGAGATAGAAATAGAGAAAGAGATAAAGAAAGGAATAGGGACAGTGAGAGAGAAGGAGAGAGAGAGAGATGAAGGGATAGAGAAAGAAAAAGAGCTGAAGAAAGAGATAAAGAAAGGGATAGGGGTAGTGAGAGAAGGAGAGAGAGAGATAAAAGGATAGGGATAGAGGTAGAAATAGAGAAAGAGATAAAGGAATAGGGATAGTGAGAGAAGGAGAAGAGAGAGATGAAGGGATAGAGAAAGAGAAAGAGATGAAGAAAGAGATAAAGAAAGGGATGGGGATAATGAGAGAGAAGGAGAGAGAGAGAGAGATAAAGGGATAGGGATAGAGATAGAGACGAAGAAAGAGATAAAGAAAGGGATGGGGATAGTGAGAGAGAAGGAGAGAGATAGATAAAGGGATAGAGATAGAGATGAAGAAAGAGATAAAGAAAGGGATAGGGATAGTGAGAGAGAAGGAGAGAGACAGAGAGATAAAGGGATAGAGATAGAGATGAAGAAAGAGATAAAGAAAGGGATAGGGTAGTGAGAGAGAAGGAGAAGAGAGAGATGAAGGGATAGAGAAAGAGAAAGAGATGAAGAAAGGCATTCACACTTGCCTCAAGCAGACAAGAGTTCTTTCTCCCACCCTGGACATTATCCCGCACTATTAGTAAACCCCACTTCTGATGATGCCTGCTATAGATGTGGGAGAAACGTCAGGAGAGAATGCTTCTGGAACATAGCCAGACAGCCCGGAAAACTCACACCAACCCATAGATTCCTGCCATGAAAGCCTTCCACAACACACTCAAGTCTCTTTTATTTATTTTTTCTTTCCCCACATCTTTTTCCCCTTCCCACGAAGGAATGAAAACCCCTTTTTATCTAAAACCTGGAAAGTTTGTTTGTTTTTATCCCGCTTTTTCGCTCCCTGTGGAGACTCAAAACGTCTCACAATCCAAAACATGACCACTTAAAATATACAAATACGCAACAATAAAAACAGGATATCATTATATATTATCAGTAGTATTACATTTAATATATTAGTATTATTATATTACAATATTATTATATATTAATCTAGAGTATGGTGTTTAATATATTAGTATTATTATATTACATTATTATTATTATATTATATATCAATCTATAGTATGATGTTTAATATATTACTATTATTATATTACAATATTATTATTATATTATATATCAATCTATAGTATGATGTTTAATATATTACTATTAATATATTACATTATTATTATTATTATATTATATCACATATTATTATATTGGGTTGTTGTGAGTTTTCCGGGCTGTATGGCCCTGTTCCAGTAGCATTCTCTCCTGACGTTTCGCCTGCATCAAAGTTTGTGGGGTCTCACAACCTCTGAGGATGCCTGCCATCGATGCGGGCGATACGTCAGGAGAGAATGCTACTGGAACATGGCCATACAGCCCGGAAAACGCACAACAACCCAGTGATTCGAGCCATGAAAGCCTTCGACAATATTATTATATTGTAATATTATTGTATTATATTGTTTAAGCCGGTTTAAGCCTGGAAGC